CTATACTTTTTATGCGTGCATCACATAGTAATGCTAACCTAATAAACAAGAACAAGAGCATATAATGTTGATAAAAATCATATCATGATTAGTAGAGGCCGATCTTTGATCGGACGAGCGGGGGTGCTCAATTCATGACCTTCCCTTCTCGTACCTAAGTTCCCGAATTGAGACAATCTTGGTGATGACGGACACGTAGCGTTTGGCACGAGTCACGAGTCATAGGTTTCTTAAATTTTTCCAAAATAAAATATTTAGGTGGCGACTCTGTATCTGGCAAAGCAGTCCATTTTTGGCAATTTGATTCAAAATCGATTTTTCAAAAGATTTTCCGGATTTGGACTCTTTGGTGTTTATCAAATTTCATATTGCACTTGTGAGATTAGATTCAGAACCGCGGGAGTTCGAACTATAAGGCTTCTTTCAAACTTCCGAAAAGGGGCGCGACAAAGTCGAGCTACAATCGCGAACGGCGGCTTGCCCTTCTGAGAATGCCTTTTCATCTGCCGCCTTGATCTCGACTTCTTTGGTTGCCAAGGCCTCCTGGAGCTCCACCTTGACCTCGGCGATTTGGCCTTAGCCTCCTTGGCCTCGACTTTAACAACCTCGACCACAGCCCCCGCCGCTTGAACTCTCTTTTCGACTTTGTCTTGGGCAGCTTTGGCAGCCTTAGCTTGATCTAGCAGAACTTTGATCTTGGCCTCAACGTTGTTAAGAGAAGAGAGGAAACTAGAAGCTTCCTGAGTCTTGTGAACCAACTCCTTCTTAAAAGCCTCAGCTTTCATTATAAAGGAGTGGGCATACTGGATGGACTAAAAAGAAAGACACAAACAAGTTAGAATTGCTCAAGTAAAGGCAGAAAACCGAAATGAAAAATTGGAAGTGTTGAAGACTTACTAGGACAAAATGCTGCATCATCAATGCAAAGTTTTCGTATTCAATGATTTCGGCCATACGATTCAGATCAGTTGGCAAGAGCACGACGATGGGGAGGGTGGCGCCGACCTCGACACTGTCAATGGCACTTTCGCCAGCTCTCATCGGTCGATTCCCAACCATAATGGCAGGAGTCCATGGCTCATCGGCTTTGAAAAAACCTAGGCTCGCTGCAACTTCAGACCTCAGCTTCTTCGACTGAGTAGTGTTAGAAGGCTTGGCCTCAGCAGGTCTCTTCTCGTGGATAGGCGACCTCTTCTCAACCTCGGCCAATTTCGAAATTGGCACTGTGTCCTCTGAGTCTGTTGGGATTTAGGTTACTGTGGCCTTTGCCTTGGCTCTCTTAACTCTTTTGGGTTTTGGATTGGGTTAGGATTGAGATGGAGAAGAAGATTGAACTGTGATAACTCTTGGCAAGTCGACCAGGAGGTCTTCAACGATGGCTTTACTGCGACCCATGTCATTGGCAGTCGCAACAACGGTAACTTTAGTGCCGAAATGGATCGCAGGAAGGGCAATTGGGGGATTGGCAGGATCATAAGTCGACACCTTAGATTCTCAGCATTTGTGGCTCCAAGTTCTATCGGCTAGTGCGTTTAGTGGAACACGACGTCAGTGTTGGCACTGGGATGTCGGGATAAGAATGGGAGTAGATGTAGATGGCTGTTTTACTAGATATGAAGAGTAGGCCTGGTCTGGCCTTGATGATGAAGTGACTAGTAGAGTTGTGGCAGATGGAGGAGTCTTGCTTCGGCGAGGAACATCGGGCAGAGCAGACTTGTAGGTGGGAATGTAATTCAGTAGGAGGGGGGACTTTGCGTTTTTGGATGGGAAGATCCACAAGCTTCTTGAGACCTGGGCTTGGGAAGAAGGTCTGGTGAAAGTCCTTTGATGGTTGAGGAAGGACTACAAGAAAGAGCAACAAACATTAGTACTGACAAATGAATTGGCAAGCCTTAATAAAGATAAGTTATGGGATGAATCAATTTTTACCCTCATCCTCTCCTAAAACTGATCGGCGCAGAGGAAAAAGACGAAGATCGTCATCAGGTGCGAACTCCTAGTTGCCTGAGACGATCAATTAGTCATCTCCAGCACCTTTGTTGGAGTTTAGGAGGTCAGCTATAAGTTTGTAGATAGTGGATCTGGGCTTGAGGTAATATGTATAGCCTTTTTTAGACTTAAGGCCATACATGGTGTAACAGAATTGGATGTCGGCTAGTGTGATTCTAGCTTTTTCTCAGCGTGCTAATTCGATTATGCCATTGATAACCCTAAATGAGTTTATGGCTAGTTGCATAGGGTTAAGCTCGTAGTAATGAAGGATTTTCCTAAAAATGACATCTAAGGGAAGCCGAAGTCCACACTCAATAAAAGTAACAACAGAGATAGGCATTGAGTTTGTATCTGGCATGATAGAGTCCTCCTTGCCAGCCAACCTGATCTGGACGTCAGTTGGGATGGAAAACTCCTGCCTGAAGTATTCTAGTTTGGCCGAGATGTCTACTCTCCACCTAAACATACCCATTACCTCAGCAATAAAGGCTTGAATAACAGATTTTTGGTAAAGAAGTTTGGTAAAGATTTGGGAACAGTGCACTGGGGTGAGGGTTCTTTGAAGATCAAATGGAAGGCTTTTGTTTCACGTAGATAGACCAAGCAAATAGACAAGACCAGGAGGATAAACAGCCCAATCAATAGGAAGGATCATCCAACAAACATCAGATACAATAGCCATACTATCCTAGGAGACACCGTTTCTAAAACGCAGAGGTGGATGAGCATTTGATTGTCACTCTCTATTTCAACCTGATGAAGATTATGAACTAATCCCAAGCTGATAGATTAAATGCAATGATTTGATAGTTCTCAAAGCATTCATCTTGAATATAAGAGTTTAGAATTTTAGAGGTAATTAACCAAAAAAAAAAATTCATTAACAATAAATGTAGAGGCCTCTAAACTTATATAAAACAACCTAACGGCATATAAAGTTATATGAGACAAGAATTCCGATTTAATGTAAGGAAACATGTCAAAACTTGAGATGTAATTCATGAGCCAATCACTCGTGTATTTTGAATTTTGTTGAAAACCTTTTCAAAGTTATGTTGGATACTAGATTTATATAGGGAAAAAATTAATTACAAATTATTTTTTTATTAGGAAAATAAGATAAAAATTAATAGGTATTTTTTAAAACATCCTACTAACTACCGCTTAATAGGCGTAAGTTAAAGTTCAAATAAGTTAAAATTCTAACACATGTTTCACTGAATTTTATATATTTTTATTTATCCATATTTTAATATATTTTTATACATAATTTAACCTTAACCAACTTTCATTGAAAATTGATTAGCATTTTCATTCTTACAAAAAAGCTCAAACCAGTCACCAGCCCAGTGGGCCACGAAGCTCGGCTGGCCATGAGATTTATCTCTAGGCCCGTAAATTTGGACTATGCTATACTTAGATCCGTTTGTACTTTCGGACCAGGTTGTTTGTGATAACCTTTTAGACAGCTTATTATTAGGTATGGAAATGTTTGTAAAATTGTAACTTTTTTTATTATATAAATTTATACAAATTATTTAGTATAATTTTTACTTATGCTTTATGAGATAAAAAAAAATTAAATAAACTCAAAAAACTAATTATTGAAAAGCACGTGAAGAATGCTTTTCACTTCTATTTTTTATTATCAAATTTTATCTTGCCATATAGTACACCAAATAGGCTATTAATATATACTATTACAATGTTTTATTAAAAAGAATTAAAATTTAAAAATTTCTTGTATATCTCCTGATTCATTAATGTTTTGAGAATATGAAAAATGTTTGTATTAAAAACAACGACATAAAGAATAAAATCTCAAAGGGCCATACAAACTATACAACAAAAGGAAAAAAACAAACAATAAAAAAATAACAATTCTGTTGAAAAAATTAGTTATGAACTAAGGAAAACTATCAATCTTTTTAAGGGTGTAGTCTAAAAAGTAAGATTTGTTTGAAAGTTTGTCGTTTCTAGCGACGTCGTCCCATTGCGGCTGCCCAACTTCGCTACTGCCACTGTCGTACTTCAAACACTGCCAGAAGCTGGAGATGAAGAGGAGGTACACCCACAATGGTATGGAGAAGACTTGAGAGAGGATGAAACCATTATGAGTGTAGAAAATCCAAAAATCTATACCGAAATCAGGAAAAAAAATTATCAAATCCCTATTTTGGATATAAAAAGTTTAAATTTACACCATAAAACTACATATCTATATTCTATGAGCGTAAATTCACACTCTAAAATATGTTAAAAAAAAAATTACTAAAATATCATAAAAATATTACCAAAGCACCACTAGAAATCTCCTAAGGAGGAGAGCACTGCTCTCTCTCTCTCTGTCTCTCGAACTGCTATCACGATTCATGAATTATTGCTAGTACCGTGTAACAAGATTTCATTAGCAACAACTTTGGGGTCTTTTGGGAACAATGGTAAAAGGTCAATTTTTTCACCTTTTAGTTTTTTTAGCTAAAAAAATTAGTTTTTTTTACTCAAAACAATTCAATTTTTTGCCAAAAAAGTCACTAAAAAAAGTCAAAAAGTCAGCTTTTTACCAACTTCTCAAAACACCACTTTTACATATTATACAAATAAGGTTAAAATTTAGTATGGTTAATAATGACTGAACTAAATAAAAATTTGAGATTATTTTTCTAAAAAATGAATTCATTAAACTGACTCCATCCATTTCAAATTATTTATTCATTTTTATTGTTTCAAATATCATTAAAAATTTATTTATATTTTTTAATTCATTATTTTTTGAATATTTTTAAAAAACTATCTACAACAATTAATTAATTGAGATTTTTTCATTTGTGAAAACAAATTAAATTTCTTTCATAAAATTCATTATTTATTGACCTCAAAAAATAAACAAACAATTTAAAATGAAAAAAAAAAATTATTAATAAATAAAATTTATTATTTATTCTATTTTTTTCACCAAAAATATATTAGGGCAGTTGGAGGTGCCTAGGTGTCTTTTGAATACTTGCTTCATTCACCTTATCCCAATTCCTCGCCTATCAAAAACCCTCCAAAAACCTCACTCCATTGCCAATGGATTCAATCTCAAACCCCCACAAAAAAATCCATTTCTAGTTAGTTCCAATTCTTAATGTTAATTTCTTCACCTCTAAGTCTCTCCACAAACCCTTTTCACATCCTCTATCTCTGTATCCATGGAGCTTTGTTCACCATTCAAACCCCACCCAAGACCTGACCTCTCTTTCTCATCTTCCTTCTCACCTTTCCCCTTCCAAACCCACCTCAAAACCCCCCAAATCTCAACACCCACTTCCCCAAAATTTCGAATTCTGGCCGTTGCTTTGGACCCACAAGAACTCCCCCAAAACAGCCCCCAAAGGCTCCTCAAAGAGCTCGCTGAGCGCAAGAAAGTTGTCTCGCCGAAGAAGAGGATACCCCCGAAGAGATTCATCCTAAAACCCCCATTAGATGACAAGAGATTAGCTGAAAGATTTCTAAACAGTCCCCAATTGTCCCTCAAAGCCTTTCCTTTATTGAGTTCTTGTTTACCATCTTCTAGACTTAACAATGCTGATAAAACTTGGATTGAAGAGTACCTTTTGGAAGCCAAGCAAGCTCTTGGGTACCCTTTAGAGCCATCAGATAGGTTTGGGGATGATAACCCAGCAAAGCAATTTGATACTTTGTTGTATTTGGCTTTTCAGCATCCTTATTGTGAGAGAGCGAAGACACGGCATGTGAGATCAGGGCATTCGAGGTTGTGGTTTTTGGGGCAGTATGTGCTTGAATTGGCAATGGCTGAGTTTTTCTTGCAGAGGTATCCGAGGGAGTCACCGGGTCCAATGAGGGAGAGGGTGTATGCTTTGATTGGGAAGAGGTATCTTCCCCAGTGGATTAAAGCGGCTAGCTTGCAAAATTTGATCTTTCCTTATGATAACATGGACAAGTTAATCCGAAAGGACCGCGAACCCCCTGTGAAGTAAGTTTCTTGCTATTGTTTTGCGATTGGGATTCGATTTTCCTTTACATAAGATGGACAATTTCCATTTTATATGTGCTTTTTTTTTTCGCCTTTTATTGTATTTGAACCAATCACTTGAGTATATTGATAGCTAGTTGTAATACTCTTATACAGAGCATCAATTGAGTGTATATTTCTGGAAATATACTCGAGGGGAATTTACTTATCAATATGTATGAATGTACTCAAGGGAAATTTCTGGCAACAGCTTTATGATGCATGATTTGAACTTCTTCAATGGTGCATTGTATACATGTATGATAGTTGTCAACCTTAATATTTTATTTCTGTATTCTTGCCAATAAAAAAGAGGCTTAAACTTCATAACTTTGAAACATGCATAGCATTTGGAGGTTCCAATGCTTAGCCCATATCCCTCGTGCTTCCTTTTTTTCTGTAAAATGTCTAATTGGGCTATAACATATGGTTGTTGAGATAGTAATTAGATGGGGAGTTGTTAGTAAGACAATTGTAAGGGAGGGTTCAATTAAATACGGATATTGGAGTTAGGCGTTAGTGGACAGAGGTTTAGAGTTGGTGAGGGACTGTTACTGTACAAAGATAGAAACAACCCTGAAACCCTTTATTAAAGGCAGTTTTTTAGGCTGCAAAATAGTGATTAATAAGTTCTGAATGCCAGTATAGAGCTTCAACATTCAAAGAATTAAAAATAATAAAAATTGAAGAAAGAGAAGAAGAACAATAAATAGTAATCACAATCACTTTGAAGTCAATAGGCATCAGACATACGATTATGATTGCATATCTTCGACTGTTAACCATGAGTATTCATTAGGAGTCTACCCTTGTGATCCTATATTCTCTACCTTCTTCTAACACTCAACACCTTAGGATAGTTTACTGCCCAGAATTCTAGCATTGTTTTCCCTGAATTCAGTGCAACTAAACACTTTTAAGACCTAATCAACTTTAACCTGTCAAATCTACATAGCCTACAAAAATTCTAGCACTTCTTAAAGGCCCCAAAGTCTTTTATTTCCTTGGCTAATTAAACCCTGAACACTTACCCTTATGTTAACTTATTTCTTAATTAACCTGTTGGCAATAAAAATTTGCTATGATCTGCCCTAGAGAAACCCTTTTATGGCTGCCCAATATCAATTTCGGGTGAAATGACTTGTGAAAGCATGTCCCGTTCACTTGTCTCATAATGTGACTATAAGTATGAATCTGTGAAAAGAATGCTGTCAACACATATCATGGCATTATGTGTTCTTGAGTTGTCCATAGGAAGAAGTTTCTTTGCACAAATAGTAAAGAACTAAAGAACACGATCAATAAGTTATGTTCTCAAGTTTACAATATATTACTTCATGCTCAATTCATATTTTGATCTCGCCATTTAATCTGGGTTAAAATATGTTGGCTGTGTGTTGTTATGTCTCGTATGTTATGTTACTAAGTTATAATACAAGGGGAAGGAGAAAAATCGACATAGTAGAGCTAAGAGCAATGAGGCACAATCCAAACAAAAAAAATACTATTGTTGATCCAAGCTAAAATACTATTGTTGACTTGTTATTTTAATGATGAATATTCTTATGGGCAGAGCTGTGTTCTGGGCATTGTTTGGGGCAATTTATCTCTGTTTTGGTATGCCAGAAGTATACCGTGTTCTTTTTGAAGTATTTGGTATGGACCCAGAAGCTGAAGAATGCCAGCCTAAATTAAGGAGACAACTTGAAGACGTAGACTATGTCTCTGTGGAATTCGATGGCAGAAAGCTAAACTGGCAAGATGTTGCTGCATATAAGGCAAGCTCAGTTTTGTTTTTTCTTTCTATCTAAATGTCATTAACCATATCCTTGGTAAATGAAGGATATAAATCAAGCATTGGTTTGTTAATGCTTCTTTCATTTAAATGTACAGCCCCCAGAAGATGCACTTTTTGCACACCCAAGGCTTTTCAGAGCATGTGTCCCACCAGGCATGCATCGTTTCCGAGGAAATATATGGGATTACGATAGCAAACCCCAAGTTATGCAAACGTTGGGATATCCCTTAATAATGACTGATAGAATTCCAGAAATTACTCAAGCGAGGAACATAGAACTTGGACTTGGGTTGCAGGTATTGTTGTCCCTCTGTTTATTTTTGCTCTTTAACTTGTTAATTGGGCCATGAGTATTGTTGGCCCTCTGTTTCTTTTTTCTTTAACTTGTTAATTGGGCAGTGTTGTTAAATATATATATGTCAATACTTGATGCAGATGTGGTGTCTGACTCAATTTCATGTCGACAGGCCTAGAATGATATTATATAAGAGTGGATATTTACATTGAATTGTGTTTTAAATGTACATTGGTTGCAACTTGCATGCATTAAATGTCAAGAAACATAAACATCAATGTCTAATTGAAAGATGATATTTCAACAAGAAGATCCAACAGTGTCCCTTTTTTTTTCTTAGCTAGACAACAGTGTCCAACAGTGTCCTTTTTGGTTTGGACTTGTTTGTTTAATTGGGGCTGAAGTTGGTGTTTGAATCAATCTTCTCCAGAATACTTGAACCATCTCTTGCTCAGTTTGGCATTGGACTTACAAGGTTAACATATATATGTACTATCTATAAAGCAAACACAAGACTCACAAGACTTGGTGTAGATGTCACTTCCCAACACACACACACCCCCCCCCCCCCCCCCCCCCGGGCGGAAAAATGCCCATAAGACCAGTTACCTATGCTTATGCCCAGTTTTCAGATTTTGAATTCAATCATATATTTTACAATCTTATGCACACCACTGCTAGTGTTATATAAAGCCTACTCCTGAGTTGGTGTAGACTTTGTTGTGCCCTCACATAACTACTCAGCTCAAATTTGTAACTTCTTGCCTCGTATAACTGCCCAAACCAAATTCAAATCAAAATTTGAAATTTCTTTGGTTTTAATTTTCTGAATTCAATTTTTTGAAAATTGAGTTTTTTTTTTTTCGTGTTTTTTTTTTTGTTTTTAGTGAATATTTTTAAATTTTAAATAATTTTTTGTACTTTTAATAGATACACCTTACTTAGATGTATCTAAAAAGTAAAACATTTGTGAAAAAATATTTCAAAAATTAATAAATACACAAAAATATGAAAAAATACTTAATTTTTGTATTTTGTGATATTTAGTAAATTTTTTCACAAAAATTATACTTCTTAAGTGTATTTATGTTAGGTGTGCCTAAAAGTTAAAAAGGATGTGCTCACACAGCTAGTATATATATGTATGTATGAGTGTATCTAATGTGTGTATTTCTTCAAAGTGAACTTGTATATATATATGTATGTATGTGTGTATCTAACGTGTATGCATTCCTTCGAAGTGAACTTGCATTAATGAGGCAAGCATCTGTTCTCTTTACTCTTGCAATTCAATTGTATCTGTGTTTGTTCAATTATATCTATGGAGCTAGCCTTCTCTTTTGTCCACACTTTCGAAGTTAAATCTCAGACTTCAGTGTGATGTGTAACTCCACCTTTTTCAAATCTCATGAATCATCTTATGCTTAATAATGCGTTGGACTTTGACAACTGAGGAGAAAGCATATTAACTCTTAAATTAGGAGTTAATATGCATTACCAAACACAACAAATTTAATATTTTAACCAAATTTTTTAGTATGTTTACTAATGCGTTAGACTTTGGTGTGTTTGTGTGCGTACATGCACTTGTGCATTGAACTTTATTGATGTAATATGCTTTCTCCTGAGAAAACTCGCTGTGTTTGTGTCTCCTGATGGATTTTTTATTTTTATTTTTTTACACCGAAAATACAGCTTTGTTTTATGCACCCGTCAAAATACAAGTTTGAGCACCCTCGGTTTTGCTTTGAGCGACTAGAATATGTTGGCCAAAAGATCCAGGTAGTCATTTTCTGGCCTTATTGCATTTTTGGTTTGGAAGATCTTTTTACTGAAGTAACGCTTTGTTTTTACATGATAATAATATCCCATTTGAATAAAAATAAGTTGGTAGCAATGCACGTGTAAAACCAATTCAATGGTTACCCTTATCATTTTATGCAGGACCTTGTGATGGCTGAGAGGTTGCTAATGAAGCATCTGGATGCACCTGGGAGATGGTTACAAGAGAAGCATCGCCGTATTTTGATGAACAAGTTCTGTGGTAAGTTCTTGAGGGAAAAATATCTACACCGCTTTATCATCTACAGCGAGCAAGTACAAGATGCGTACGAACATAATCGAAGATTAAGGAACCCTGCCACGACCTCTGTTCAGCAAGCCATCCATGGGCTCTCGTACACTGTATACGGGAAACCAGACGTGCGACGCCTCATGTTTGAGGTTTTTGACTTTGAGCAGATCCAACCTAAAACCATGTGAAGATTTGAGAGATTAACTCTCAAGTGAACTCAACAAGGGTAAGTCTGGTTTTTCTTCGACTCACAAATTTGTCCAAATGGGATGTACTTCCACAGTTTTTTGTAAGATTGTTGGTACATCAAGGCACAAAGAGAAGTACAGTGTATATATTTTTGTTTCTCTGTTTTTTGTAGACTAAATGTACTATGTGCTATCATTGGATGCTCTTCCATTATTCAAGAATTATAAAGCTTTCTGTTCTTGATAACGTGATTCGATCAACACTGCGTGCTCACACACAGATGCCCTGATTAGGCTCTGATTATGCCCAAGGTTTTATGATGTGCATCTCATTAAGGTAAAAGAATCTCATTTTTTGACAGAACTTTTTGGTTAGTTCTGAATTTTACATTAACAGAGAGCTTGTGTCGATGGCCATAAAGTGCTGTGACCCTGTTTGCTAAACTGTTTGTTTACTTTGTAATTAATGTTCATTTTTCAGAGAAATTTATCAGAATCTGTAATGGCTTTTGGCTTTTGAATGTGATTGCTGGTTTTTCATTTTTTAAGCATTGGTTAATGGATGTGGTTGAGGAGAGTGATGTTGCTCATAGTGAAAAGTTAATAGGTTAATGGATGGGCCATAACTTTTGCCTTGACTTGGTAAAAAGCATGTGATATTACCTAACTAATGTAACAGTTTAATAGGTGAGAGATTGCCAAATTCAAATTCAAGTAACTTAAATTTCGCTCTTTTCATTGGTGTATTTTTAGCTTTTGGTTGGTTTTAGGTATTTTAGGTGCGGTGGAAGGTTTCTCGTCTAAAAAAAAAAAAAAATTCATATTCATATCCATATTCATATTCATATTCCTATTAAATTTTCTTTAACCAGGGATCCTTGTAGACTACAGTTATAGTGGCCCTTATCTTCTAAGGGGAGGGATTATGGATCCAATAGCTGTGGATCAGTAATTTCTATGACATCTTTGTATGGTAAACCTTTAACCTACCCTTTGCTTGATCTCACAATTGAACTTTATAAAACTTTGAGGATGCGGGCATTATTTGATTAGGATTAATATTAGTGTAAATTTTGTGTTCTAGCTGGATCTTTAACCAGGGATCCTTGTAGACTACAGTTATAGTGGTCCTTATCTTCTAAGGGGAGGGATTATGGATCCCATAGCTGTGGATCAGTAATTTCTATGACATCTTTGTATGGTAAACCTTTAACCTACCCTTTGCTTGATCTCACAATTGAACTTTATAAAACTTTGAGGATGCGGGCATTATTTGATTAGGATTAATATTAGTGTAAATTTTGTGTTCTAGCTGGATTAGTATAAAATTGGTGTTTTCAAAAAAAAAAATAATAATTTAAAAATGGATATAATTAGTCAATTAAATTGTGTTTTTTAACTGAGTAAATTACGAATATACCTCTTAGAGTTTGCTTAAAATGTAAATTACCTTATGTAATTTTAAAAATTATATTTTATCCCTAGAAATTTCTAATTTTATAACCAATAGCTTATTTTATTAATAAATTATTAAGTCACTTAATAGTTTTTAATAGTATCAAAATTTTATTTTAGTTAATAATTAAAGTAATTTTATTATTGTAAGTAATTTTATTTTCAGAATTTTATTTTTTAATTAAGTTTATTAAATAAAAAAGTCAAGTAACGAGTATCTATTATTTTTTAAATTATAAGAATAAGTTGGTATTTTAAACAAATATCAAGTGGTGATTAGGGGTGAGCAGCGGATATACCAATCCGTCAAAATCGACCAAACTGAACCGATCTGTCGCATTTTGGACGGATGTGTGATGACGAGCAGACGGTTGCGGATTAATTTTCTCCAATCCACTAATCTAGCGGACGGATGGTGGAATTGAGATTGCTTTGGCCGCAACCAAATTGCCAACTGCGAGCACCCCTAATAATTTATAAGACTTTGTGTTTTCAATTTATTTAAATATTTTGTTTGTATTTTCAATTAAAAAATAGTTTAAATATTCTGTTGAAAAAAAGTTTTCAACTTGAATATTTTTTTTGAATTGGAAAAAATAAACGTATTAGTTGTTTATATTTTTTTGTTTTAAAATCTATCTCTAAAAATAATAAATAGAAAATATGATATATGCTGGTTGGTTTTTATTTTCAAAAATAAATATAGATATAACAATACAGAGACATACGATCTTTACTGTTGCTCTGTTCATGGTTTTGATGGTTTGAATTGTTTTTATATTTTAAGAATCACAGATTGTAATACTTTATGTGGATGAGACATACTGTGATTGTAGTATGTGGATGAGGCATACAGTGATTGTGATATTCTAAAGTTGCAAGCTTTCTTGCTTTAGATGAGGCATGCAATGATTGTAATATTTTTTTAAGTCATTGACTGTAATACTTTCTTCTTCTTCTTTTTTGAAAAAGTGTACAAATTGAATTATGTTGAAAATTTATAAAATTTTAAACCGCCAACTCGATTCGCATCCATCCGCCAAACTGTCAATCCGCTCAATTCACATCCGCCGGATTGGCAGATGGATGCGGATTGATTTTCTTCAATCCGTCAATCTAATTAACAGATAACGGATTGGAGGTTTCGTGACCGCAATCAACCCACGGCCACTAGTGATTTATAACAGAAAAGATGAAAACCTTGAAAATAATAAATCAAATGAATTTCTGATTTTATTATTATTATTTTCTTTCTACCATAAAAAATTTAAAAAAAAAAAAAGAAAAAAAAATGAGTGACAGTGGGCCTTATCATGAATGATTTGATGTTTTGACCTTGATGTTGTATTTTTTTTCTTTTTTTATTGAGTGCCATATCATTAATGATCTTTTTAGATCTCCAAAATTAGTAATTTTTATCATTGAAAAAAAAAAACGGATTAACAGAAGAAGCCAGTTGCTACCGAGCATGCGTCACGTGGTAAGATGCGTATATTGACAAACTCCAGTGCTTGTGGACCCCGCTACTACCAGTAGCTTCCGATCATAACCCCCCGCACCGCCCCCTCAAAATCAAATCTACCTGTCCATCAGAATCGGTTACGGGAGGGAGGGAGGGGTATGGTGGTTATCTGTGGTGGAGCAAGTCTCATCAGCAGCACATGAAAGATGTGCACTATCTTTCCTCCCTCCTCTTCCGTTTCTCTCTAGTCTGCGCCCTCGTCGCCTTGCGTGCGCCTGTTGCGCAACCTCCTAACCTACTCCCCTCCTGCCCTTCCCTTCTCATCCACCACTCACTCTCCACTCCGATCATCATCACCAACAATAACGACGCCGCCATGTCCAAAGCTCGAGTTTACTCTGACGTCAATGTTCTTCGTCCCAGAGACTACTGGGATTACGAATCGCACACTGTTCAGTGGGGGTAAATTCGAACAAAGAAACCCTAATCTCTTTCTAGTTTGCTTTCTGTTTCTTCTTCTTCCTCCTCTTCTTTTGTTTTTTATTAGGTTTTTACTGTAGCTAATGATTACAATGATCCAACTGTTGATCATTTTAGGTTGATCATCATGTAATTTGCAGGAATATACATATACTAGTGCTGTTAAAATTTGAAAAATTATAAATTTTAATTTTGATTTTAAAGCACTCATATTGTATGCCGCTCAAATCATGCTTTAGGCCTTTCAAGTCCCACGCTTTAGTACGATTCGAATCTCAAAACATAACTCAAATCTCATTAACATAACTCATTATGGCAATGACAAAAATTCCTTTCTTGTGATTCATGTTAAAGGAACTTTCTTTGAATTTAAGTGAAGAATTCAAGTTCAAAATAGAGATTCCTGCCTTAAATTTCAAGTATTATGCAAACCCCCATTGTTTTTCTTTCTTTTTCTCTCTATTCCTCTTCTTCCTCCCACTTCTGTCTAGCCAAACACCATTTTTCCTTCACAAGCACCTCTCTTCTGGTTATATATTTTGCTTTACAAAGAATTGGTGAAGTGTCGAGCCAAAAGGTGTTTCACACCTCACTTGTCACCATATTACGACTCATCCTCCTCTGCTAATTACCTTGGCTAATCCATGATTAAGGTGGGTTATATTATCATGGTTAAGGATTAAGAGGATAATTGCGATTAAATCATGTCACTTGAGAACCTTGTTTAAGATAATTAAGACATCATTAGGTTAATAAAGCATACTCTAATTAAGAAATTCCTAAAAAACATGCAATTAATTCTTTTTTATGTCCACTTCCTTCTATCAAAGGCATAATGCAGCAAGGGATAACACAAAATTGCAGCAAGGGAAATTACTAGGCTAGCTCAATCAACTTGCACACAACACATATATAACACGGGTGATGAACACGAACATGCCAATGCAGTGTTTTGAAAACCGCGCCTAAGTGCGCGCCTAAGCCCAAGGCGAGGCGAGGCACAGCTCTGCGCCTCATGCATAGCGAGGTGAGGCGACATAGAGGAGGCGCAGCTAAGGCGATGAGGCGTGCGCTTTTGGCGCTTTGCGTTTCTTCTACTGCTACAGCCCATCTGGTTTTGGTGTAAATACCCACATGGAATAAATTTTCATTTACAATATCAAATGATCAAAACGTGGGTCAAAAAAAACAAAAAAAAAAGAAAAGAAAAGAAAGAAAGTGGAGAAGAAGAAGACAACGAAGAAGGGCCACGATTGCTCTCTCGCTCACGATTGCTCTCTCGCGATCGCGATCGCAATCGCAATCGCAATCACGATCTCTCTCTCTCTCTCGCTTCTGTCTCTTCCTCTTTTATCTTCTTGATTCATATATATATATATATATAATATATTATATAATACCTATTATATAATATATAATACTAGCGTATGCCCGTGCCTGAAGGCACGATGTAAATAATCTTGAGATTAAAATATAAGTATGTGTGAGTGTATTTCTTTAAAAAATATATATATATGTATTAAAAAAATTATATTTTTTTTTTCTTCTTCTCTTCTCTTCTCTTCTCTTCTTATTAAAAAAATTAATAATATACATATTAGATTTTTGCTTATGTTGAAAATTGTACTATATTAATATTTTGCTTAACTTCTATAATTTGCGCCTCGCTTTGGTGAGGCGCGCGCCTCGCCTCGCGCCTCGGCGCTTAGGCTCCAGGTGACCTTGGCGCCTTGATGCGCCTAGAGCTTTTTAAAACACTGTGCCAATGCAAAGTTAATGCCTGGGGTATTACACATGTACTACCAGTTGGCCTTTTATCATTTTTTACAAATATGTTTAGTGTAGTTATCCACCTTGTGAGACTTGTCTGTCATACTAATCATGGGTCTTAGTCTTAAGATTCTGAAAAGCGGTTGCGGTCGCCCGTAACGGTGGCGGTGACGCGGTTGCGGGGTGTAAAGGCCGTAGTGTAACGGTTGCGGTAGCCGGAACTGTGAATTTTTTAATTTTTCGCACAATTTGAATTACCGATACGCATATTTTTTTCTATGATCATATTTATTGGGTTAAAAATAAATATTGATCAATTTTTGTAAATTTTTAAAATTTTAAGTATGATCCAATATATTTCATATTTTTAAATCACTATAAACTGAGCTTTTTACGTTTTATTTTAATAATTAATGACTTTATATTATACAAAAAATCAATTACTAACTATTATATATAAGATAAACAATGACAAAAGTAAGAGAATAAATAAGAGCCTAAATATATATATATACATATTTTAACCATACCAAATAGATAACGACCACACTTATTATTATTATTATTATTTTCAAACAATATATAGATAGACACACACAAACAAAATGATTTAGTGATAGCAGCTGAATAACATAGGTCTTACAGTTTCAACAAATCAATAACATGTTCTTCATCTTCCATCTTCTCTCTTTCTATCTCTTGCTCCTCCATTTTCTCTTTTTATCTTCCCTCTTCTCTCTATTCCTCTTCCCCCATTTTCATCTTTTTTTTGTGTGTTTTTTTCGAAAGAAACAGTTTGGAACCGTTACGACCGCTACGGCAGCCGCTACGGCCGACACATCTGTGAATCTCAATCACATTGCAAAAGCAGCCATAACAGGTGGCGGTAACCGCCAAAACCGTTACGTAACGGTTGCGGCCGCTTTTTAAAACCTTGTTAACTCTTACTAATATCTCCTTTTTTTAGGAATACTTTTTAAGATGTGCACTTTAACATTCAATTTTTTGTTTCAGTGATCAAGATGACTATGAGGTTGTACGGAAAGTTGGAAGGGGAAAATACAGTGAAGTTTTTGAAGGCATAAACGTCAACAACAACGAGCGGTGTGTAATCAAGATTCTAAAGCCTGTTAAGAAGAAAAAGGTAACCCTTTGGTGGGGAATTACTTATCTTGGGTTACTTTTTGGGAATTGGGAATTACTTAGTTCTCTTCCCTTCCTTTTTTTCTTAGATTCAATTCTTCCATCTTGCAGTGGAAGAAATGAATAATTTATATTGTGTTTTATGTTTCATATAGATGGACACAGCAGAACATGCAAATGCTCCCACTATAAATCTTGATAAATAGGTTTGGAGTCTTTGGACACAAAAACATCACATCCATTGTATAAATGCATATGCTTATATTGCATGGGACAGTTTTACTCTTATGACTAATATATCTAAGTTTCATTAACCCCAAGGAGTTGGCCTAGTGGGTGTAGCTTGGGGCCTGGGTGTGTGCTCCCTCTAGGTCTCAGGTTCAACTCTCACTAGGTGCTATCAACTTATTGGGGTTACGCTTGAGGGCACTACCCGAGATTTGCCCGATCCACGTGGAGGAGGCGTTGTGCGTGGGTCTGGAGATTAGTCAAGGTGTGCGTAAACTGACCCGGACATCTGGTCATCAAAAAAATATATATATATAAGTTTCGTTGTTAAAAACTTGCATCACTTGGAAGATGAAGCTTGATAAGTTTGTATTCATAATTATGTTTGCTAACAGTTTCTATGTTAAACACTTGCATCACCTGGAAGACGAAGCTTGATAAGTATGTATCCATAATTATGTTCACTTGGAAAACGACATACATTAAATAGGCACCAAGAGAAGGATAATTCATGCATGCACGATGTATACAAATCCAAGATAATGACTTCTATACATCATCTCACTAATAATCCAAATGCTCTGTAAGATTGAAAATACTATAAATTAAAGGTTTTCTCTCCCCAACATCCACCACCTATACAACTGTAAAGCTTGCTGTTCATCTAATGAATATGCTACTCATACCATCAAAGAAAAAATGACTGTTCATTCCCCCATATACACCACATCAAGCAGAGGAGCTGCGTCCATCCTTCTTTTGCCTACTTTGGACCGTCCCCAGTTAAGAAGTGACTCTGACTGACTTGGGGAATACTCATGTTACACCAAAATTGACTTTATGACAAATAAGCAAGTAATTTACTGCCTCCACCAGCCTTTGCACATGCAACATCAATTAGGATAGGTCTTTTGTTCATATTATTCAATAACAAGAATCTTGCGATGAGCTGCCAATGACACAAGAAAATGCCATATTCTCTTATTATACACTTTTATACTTTATTTTACATAACAGGTATATCATTTCTGCTTTTATTTTCTCATGAAAATGTGTCTATTTCATGCACTATCTTTGTTGGCCATATGTATGATGTTCATTTCTAAAGACATTTTTTGAAATCTTCTGGAGTTGTGTTAGGTTTGCTTCTAGGTTTGTCGAAGAGTATCATGCCTGCTACGACAAACCCCTTATTTTTAAGAAGTTCCACCTAACATAGCTTGTGGTAGCCTTTGTCCTCCCCGGCCTGATAAGTAACTTAGGCTGGAGTATGTTATATAGTCATGTACACTGCTAGTGAAAGTGCAATGAAAAGTAATCTGTTCACTCACCATTTGGTTCTTTATAGTTTCATTTAATGTATGGTCATGTAACATTGTCAAAATTTATGTATTATTGACCACATTGACAGATTATGACATACGTTACTACATATATGAGCTTCTCAAGGTAAATCAGGAAGCAGATTCTCACAGAACTGAGCATTCATCTAGAGGTGGTTGTAACTTGTATGTAATACAAATCTTAATGGTTAACTCAATCACCTCATTTTGCTTTTCAGGCACTAGATTATTGTCACTCACAAGGGATAATGCATAGAGATGTGAAGCCTCATAACGTAATGATAGACCATGAGTTACGAAAACTTCGCTTGATAGATTGGGGTCTTGCAGAATTCTATCATCCTGGCAAGGAATACAATGTCCGTGTTGCTTCAAGGTAAGACCTTGTATGGTTATAAATCACATAACTTCTCTCTTTTTAATAACTTTGCTCTAATGGTCTTTTTGGGGAATTGTTTTCCTTTGAAACTTATGTAGTCTTGTAAACAAACAAGTTGTGATGTTTTAAGGAAGATGCCACCAGTACCTTTGGAGAGAAGAAAAATAAAAGGTGCTTCGTCACAGTTACTCCTGACACTAGGAGCACCTCTAGCATCTCCATTGGAGAAGCTCTTAGGAGATTCCAGTTGTTATGCTAAAGGCTTGTAGGGTAAGAAAAAGGTTAGTGTAATGACAGATGGCTTTTAATTGAAAATAAAAGGAAATAAGGACTAGTTGTAACGAGGGGGAAAGGCAAAAAATTATAGGAATCCCCCACCCCACACGTGGGCTGGAATCCTTGTAAATTACTACTAGAGCTAGGGTAGCATAACATGGTTCCTAGAGTGCTTCAGAAGTTGATGAAAATCTTCTGAAGTCTTTTCCAATTTGATAGAGTAATAAAGGTACATAGACTGCTGGTTGTCTTGAAGTTGATGTGTTAGTGAAACTAATCGAAGCCTGCTCAAGGCAATGATCAAAGGCCTAATAATGTAACTAAACCAAATGAAACCCAAGGGACAGGACCCCAGATTTGAAATGTATCCATTACATTGAAATAAGAAAACATAAAATTAGCTAAACTAGCGACACTTAACCTCAAGAAACCTAAAATAAGACTCAGTTCAAACACAAATTGAATATGCAAGGTCTGAAATGTCATTTCATCCATATATGATATTGATATGATTAAATCTCCTTTCATCTATGTATGATATTGTAAAATGGCTAATATTGCCCAACTGTATAGTTGTCAAATTTGGATTCAAATCATGAATCGAAATGGTATTGTACCGAATCGCGAATTGAATCGAATCGAATCATGAGTTGTAAAGATTCAGCCACCTTTTTAAAATTACATAGAAAAATATATATATACACTTAGATATTAAATATATCTAATAAATATTAAATATGTAGACTTAAATCAATAAAAATATTGCTTTAACTGATGATCATGTAGTCTAGGTAAGAAGTTAACACGGGTCCCATGTTTACCACGTCACCTTTTCCCTTTTAGATATTGTTTCTTATCAATTATTCTTAATAAAGGAAGCAGACAAAGACAAACTTTTAATTTTCAAGTAACAATAACTGAACAACAATGTTTTTTACTTTTTACAAGGTTAAAAAACCATGTTAAAAAACTAAGATCTTTGAACTTCTTCCCAAATCTCACTTGATGCCTTCATTTTGTAAATGTAAGTATTTAGATAAAATTGGACATGTAAAGCTTGGAATATTGTAGAGGGAGAAAGTTTTTTTTTTTTCCGGCTAAGGTTTGAGTATTTGAGAGTAAATAGGGAGGGAGAAAGTTATAAGATGGCATATAGTAATTCTAAAGACCTTAAAAAGGTTTTGTGAACCCTTTTCTAACAATAAAAAACCAAAAAAGAAAACCAAACATCTATTTTAGCAAATCGAATCGATTCACGATTCACGACTCACCTACAATTCATAGCTATTTCACACAACCTGTTCGTATCGATTACCCATTAAATCGAATTGTACGATTCTAACAACAGAACTTGACTGTAACAAGATGATTTTTTAATTTCTTTAAATGTTTTAAAACTTTGCTAATGTGCCTCTCTAGGGTAGATTCATATTTGAAATTGTTAATGTGTTGGTTAGTTCAAATTGTTAATTTGGCTTTGTAGAATTTGAAATTCTTTTCCTTGTTTCTCAGATATTTCAAGGGACCTGAACTCTTAGTTGATCTGCAAGACTATGATTATTCTATGGATATGTGGAGTCTTGGTTGCATGTTTGCAGGAATGGTGAGAGTTACACTACTTTCAGTTTCTGTTTAGGATATTTGATCTTATCCAAGTAGAGGGGGGGAAATAATTAATCTTTTCAGCTCAAGTCACTTAGAAGAGTGTCATCTGCAATGTTCTTTATTTATTTATTATATTACCAAATAAGAGTTGAAAAGGTTTAGTGCCTTTATGTAGATATTTTGCCATGTTCTTTTTTAAGAACGAAAATTTGTTTTTCCATGGCTCATTATGCTTTGGTTTGGTGCTTTTATGTAGATATTCCGCAAGGAACCTTTCTTTTATGGACATGACAACCATGATCAGCTTGTCAAAATTGCAAAGGTAATGCAATTTCTAGACTTGAGTGAAGTAATCTTATCTTTATAAGACTATTGTGTCATGCAATTTCTGTTACACTACGGAATGGAATTTTTCTAAAGAACCAGCTTATGAGCTCTGTACTCTTTACTACTGCTTACTACTTTTGTTGTGGATGTTTAGTATCAAAAACACATTATTATTGCCCCACTTTTTCCAACTTCTGAAAATATTTAAGATTGTTCTCTCCCCCAAAATATACAAATAATAGTGATATGTATGTCACTGCTGCATAAAGATTGCATACCAAAGCTGATCTTGTAGTGCCAATTACAAATCAGGATTTTGGACGTTCGATATTGCTATTCATCAATATATCGGCTGATACTGTCCAATATATGACCATTTTGCTGATACAAGTACATATCTCGATTGTATTATTTAAAACCATGCTGCAGATGCCAAGTATGATAATCCATAGCTCACTCTCACACTGGATGTGTGTGGAGTTGACCTAGGTTGGGGTCCTTTGCATGGTCTTTTTCTCAGAAACTTAAGTCTTGATAAGTTTTACAGGCCACGACTCATCTGACATCAAATGCAATTCCAGGTACTTGGGACAGATGAGTTAAATGCGTATTTGAATAAATATCATTTAGAGCTTGATCCTCAACTTGATGCTCTTGTTGGGAGGTATGTTCAATGCTATGCTTCTAATTATTTACCAGACAAAAGCTGTGATTTCCTTAGTTGAAACCATAGTTGTCAAAATGTGTAGGCAACCCTAGGCAATGGTCCTGACCCCATGCTACGTGATTGCCCAGGTGCCCAGGCTATCAAGCAGCCAGCTAAATAAATATAGAAGTTATTTAGTCATTTTACAGTTCAGTTATTTCATCTAAATTGTCATTTTTAGTTTTGAAAAAATAATTAATGTAAGGATGCTTAGTGAAGCTTTATTATAAATTTTTTGGGTTTAGCTCAAAAGGTGGAGCATGTATATAAAACTGGTCTAGTAAACTTTGACTTGAATATCATAAATGACATTATAAAAATTTAATGCATTAAAACAAATTGAGCATGAAATTTATAGAAATTCATTACCAAATGCTGTAAAATCACTAGTCACTAAAATTTTATGATTACATGATGGAGATTAAACTAGTCAAAAATGAACATGATTGTAAAATGTATTCAACCTGTTCTAGGAGGGTATACCATTCTAGTCATCTAAAAGATCCATTTAAAAACAACAAAGTTTGCTCTGCTTGAAAAGGGAGATAAAAGAAAAAGGTGGGCTTGCAACCCGGAAAGGTTGCTTAAATATTGCTGAAGCATTTGAATGGTCATCAGATTAACTGTGATTTAGGTGAGCATTGATTAGGCAAGCCCGTAACAACTATGGTTGAAACATTTAAGTAATCCTGTTGCAGTGTTGTTGATGTAAGTTTTCTGAATGACTTATGTATATTCAAATTATGTACTAATACAAAGAATACATCTGATTATATAGTAAACTTAACCCTAAGACTAAAAAGGAAACACTGCCATATATATACACCTAAAACACTGCCTTATATATACACCTATACAATCTCTCAGAAAAGGAAACACTATCATATATATAAACCTAACTTAATATTCTCACACCCTCGCTCAAACTTAAGGTGGTGTAGCAGAAAATACTGAGAGTATGCCAAGAAGAAACTGAAACTAAATAGTGGTGTGAGTCTTAGTAAAAAAGTCAGCAAGTTGCAAAGCCGAAGAGACGAAAGGAAGCGAGATAGAGCCAAACTGCAGATGTTGACGCACAAAGTGACAGTCAATCTCAATGTGCTTTATTCGCTCATGGAAGACACTATTATGGGCAATCTGAATAGCACTACGATAATCACAATAGAGGGAGGTCGGAGAAGACTGAGGGACGCCCAAGTCAAAGAGAAGACAACAAAACCAGACAACTTCAGCAGTAGCGTGAGCCATAGCACGGTACTCAGTTTCGGCAATAGAACAAGCAACAACAGTTTGTTTTTTACTTTTCCAAGAAATCAAAGAATCGCCAAGAAACATACAAAATCAAAAGGGGACTTACAATTTGTAACATCACCAGCCCAATCAACATCAACATAGGCGACTAAAGCCAAAGAAGAAGCAGAGGACAACGACAATCTTTGGAAGATAGTGCCACGAAGATAGTGAAAAATACGAACTAAAGCAACTCAATGTGTAGAACGAGGAGTAGAAACGAACTGACTAACCACATGAACAGCATAGGCAAGATCATGACGAATAACTGTCAGGTAGACTAAGCAATCCACGAGCTCCCGATATAAAGTAGAATCAGGCAAAGGAATACCATCAGTAGTATTAAGTTTCATATTAAGCTCAATGGGGGTATCGGCAATCTTAGTGTCAGTAAGACCAACACGGTGAATAACTTCATTAGTATACTTGGCTTGAGACAGAAAGTAGTCCTTGTGACGAGAATAGACTAACAATAAAAGAGAAGATGGAGCCAGCGAGGGAGAAAATGGAGAGGATGTAACAGAGTTATGAGGTACAATGGAGAGGGACTCAGCAGGAGGGGGGTTAGGAGGAGAAAAGGGAACTAGTTTATAGGGAACAGTAGAGATGTACTCATCAGGAGGAAATGGATCAATGTGAATCAAATCCTCTTTAGAAACTCGAGCCGTGAGAGGCAGAAGTTGAAAGTAAGCTAGACGTTTAAAAAATGCAACATGGCAGGAGACATAAAGGCGACGAGAAACAGGATCGTAACAGCGATAGCCTTTCTGAGTAAGACTGTAACCCCAAAAAGACACACGGGACAGACCAGACACTAAGTTTTGTCCTATCTTTCCGAGAAAGAAAGAGAGAGTAATTATGAAGTTAGAAAAACAGAGCCTCATAAGGAAAACGACTAAATAGTAGGGGGTAGGCATATGGTTAAGAAGAAAAGCAGCGATAAGAACGGCTTTCCCCAAAAAGGGAGTCGGAACAGAGGTAAAAAGAATGAGAGATCTAGCTATCTCAAGAAGATGACGGTGTTTACGCTCAACACGGCCATTTTGGACAGGTGTTTCAATATAGGTAGTTTGGTGAATGGTACCTAAATTGGCCAGATACTCACAGAACTTAGTTTTAAAATATTCTCCACCCAAGTCAAATTGTAACAATTTAATGGTAACCCCAAACTGTATAGTGATCATAGACTGAAAGGTACGGTATATTTGGTAGAAGTCATATTTGTGAGTCATAAGATAAACCCAAGTATAGTGGGTGTAATCTTCAACAAAAGACATGTAATAAGCATAACCCCTTTTAGTGAGAATATGAGAAGGTTCCCAAACATCAGTATGCACAAGAGAAAAAGGAGAAACAGAAATAGTACTTTTATTAAATGGTAAGGCGGACATTTTGACAAGTTTACTCCGCCGACATTCATCAATTTGACTAGGAGAAACTTTACCCAACACTCCTAACTGTGCTAAAGACTATAAACGGTCGACAGGCATATGACCTAGGTGAGAATGCCATAAATAAAATTGACTCGATTGAAAATCTAATTGAAATGAGGAAAGTGCAACTGGAGAGGTGGATAGAGGGAGATGCAAGCTTTCCACCACAAGAGATCTCCAACTCTACAGCCTGTCCCAATCTGCTTCTTGGACACCTGATCTTGCACACAATAGACAGAAGAGGAAAAATAACATCAAAACCAAAAGCATCAAGTTGACTGATAAATAATAAATTGATGAATAGCTGAGAAACATAAAGAACAGAGGGAATAATAACTGCAGACATGGCAGAGGATAAGACAGACCCAATAGACAGAACAGATATACCAAACTCATTAGCATTATTAATAGTAATAGGAGAGAGGGGGGGTACAATTTTGAAGTAAGGAAAGGTGAGGAGTCACATGATGAAAAGCACCAGAGTCAAAAAGCCAAACAGAAGAAGATATACCTAAAGAGGACCTAAGCAAACCTGAATGAAGAGAGGTAAGAGCAAAGGTAGATGAGAATGGCTAAAAGGTGGACAAGAGGTGTTAAAGCTGAGTAATTTGGGCACTCAAGGAAGCCAAGTTAGGATCTAAAGCCAGAGTAGATGCAGTATAAGCGGCAGGAGGCCGAAAGTTATTTTGAGTAGGAGCTTGGGACTGTGACTGTGACTGAGACTGAGACTGAGATTGCTAAGAAGACGCATGGCCCTTCTTGGGACAATTATACTTCTAATGGCTTCTCTGATGGTAGAAAGCACACTCATCGGAAGCTAGGGGCCCTTTCTTGGGCTTTGTAGTGGCCGGAAACTGATAAGGTGGTAGGGTCGACAACAGAGGAGGTTGAGTAGGAGACAAAGTTTGACTGGCTGTCTTAAGACGGGTTTCCTTGGAGAGGAGCTCACGAACAATAGCATCTACAGAGGGAAGAAGAGACTGATGAAGAACTGTTAAGAACTGCACTAAACGACTTTGCTCCCGAAACTCAACATAAGCATCTAGTGCCTTGAGCTAGGTTGTTCCATGAGAGCCAATTGATCCTAAAGACCTATCATCTCAATGTAGAAGTCCTGAATAAATTGATCCTGCTGACGAGCACTCTGAATAGTTGTTTCCAACTCATGCCGCTTGGCAAAGTTGGATTGCTGATACACCCCCAATAAATAGTTCCACACCTCCTTAGCAGTGCTGTATTTGGAAAATATCATTCTAATACAGTTATTCACAGAATTATGAAACCAGGTCAGAACTTGGGCATTATCACAATCCCAAGTGTCACAAGAAGTCAGATATCCTTCTACTTTCTGGTCCAATGGACGAGGAATAAAACCAGAAACATAGCCACATTTTTTCTGATCAAGAAGAAAATTCTTCATAATACTGGCCCAATAAGTATAATTGGCACCAATGAGTTTACATCTGATAACTTCGAGTTTGGTGTCTGATGTTGTAATTAAACAAAATTTATAAAATTTAGAAGCCAAAGTGTAATAACTAAGAATTGGAGAGCCAAGTTGAAATACGTCACTAACTCAGAGAACTAGAGACATGGTCGCGTATCAGAGAACTAGAGAAAGAGAACCAAAGATGGAGTTTCGAACCAGAGATGTGAGCGAGAGCAGATGTGTTGCAAACTAGATAGAGTCGCGAGACACAGACAATGTCACGATTTCAACAAGAAAACCGTGATTTCGATGGTCACCAAAGACCTCGAATGAAACGCAAACTGATCAAAGAGAGCAAACAGATCAATCGCAAATCAGAACCAATGAGAGAGTGACCTCGAGAAGCTGAATTAGAGAGGGAAAAGGGCTCACGAAGGCAAAGAACTTCGATCGTCGAACCAGAGGAAAACAACCAGAGATGGCTGCTAGGGTTTCGAATCCTTCAGACTAGGGTTTCGAACCAAGCTTTGATACCATATAAGTTTTCTGAATGACTTCTGCGTATTCAAATTATATACTAATACAAAGAATACATCTGATTATATAGTAAACCTAACCCTAAGACTAAAAAGGAAATACTGCCATATATATACACTTAAAATACTGCCATATATATACACTTATACAATCTCTCAGAAAAGGAAACACTGCCATATATATAAACCTAACATAATATTCTCATAGCTAACTAGGTATCTTGGTAACAACGAACAACTAGTGCTTATTTTTTTATTGATTTCTTCGTTCGTTCTTTTGCAGGCACAGTAGGAAGCCCTGGTCCAAATTTATTAATGATGATAATCAGCATCTTGTATCACCAGAGGTCCTCCGCTTTTTTTTCTTTTTTTTTTCCATTATGAAGTTTGATGTTTTTTTGGTCCATTTCTTAACCGACATGTAGCCCTGTTATTGGTTTTTTGATTCTTTCTAGCAACATGACATGCAGGCTATTGATTTTCTCGACAAGCTTCTTCGATATGACCATCAAGATAGGCTTACAGCAAAAGAAGCAATGGTAATCCTATATGACATATAGTTAACTGTTTATTTGTTTTCTTTATTTATGAACAATCACTTCTGTAATTCTTCTCGATTTCTTCTTTTTCCTTTTCACGTTGTGTCAATTGGTGACCTAGTTTGTCTATGCGGAGACGCAAATGTGTTAGTATTTATAACGAGGATAAGCAGTCTTGCACATTACCCACGATCCTCGGTCATTTGGGAATATAGGGTGGTCCCTTTGATTTTCCGTGTTAGGTTGGTAAAAGTTTGGGATTAAGGGTGGGAATTATTGACACGGCACATTATCGACACGAACCATAAAGCGAGTGGTTTGGGGATTAACTAATTCTCAACATAGACTCAAAAGTGACACGACACGATAGCACAAAAAAGAAATAGGTTTGGTTAGTGTCAAATTCATGTAATTTGAATTTGACATGGATAACTTATTTAATGGAGAATTAATTACACATTTTATGGAATTGAGTTTAAATAAAACATTTTTAACAATGATTTTATCTAGTAGAGATTAGTTCATAAATTTTATTTTGTGGGTGTAAAAATTTAAATGTCTCCATATACTTGGCATTTTAAACTAAGGGTTAAATTTTTTTATACATGTCAAAATGACACAAACCCACATGACACGATAATTCTAAAAAATAAAGGGGTAGGGTTAGTGTTAAGAGGATTTTAACACAAACTTGAGATGATATGACATGAACAAAATGAACACGATGCGATTCCCTCCCCTATTTGGAATTTTAGAGTGGTTTTTCGACTATTAAAATTATGTTTATGGGGTGTCTTATCCGTACGTTGGGTTTTCTTAGTTTTTTTTCATTCTTGAATCAGAACATTGAAATTATCTTTGTTATTCATGAAGTGAGATTGGAGAGGAGGAAATAGAAAATTATGGAAATTCGAGGAGAAAGTATTTAATGTAACTAGAGACAACTAGTTACTCCAATATTTTAAGCTTTTGTTGTTTAATGGAAAACATTAACAACAAATAAAGCATATTTGATTGTCTAGTTTTCTTGCTTCCTGACTTCTTTTATTTTTTAAAAACATATTTTTCTGTCTAATATAAATAAAGCATTTTTTTGGTCTTTGGGTTCACTGATATGTTATTCACTTATGTTTGTGGATCAGGCTCATCCATATTTCTCTCAAGTCCGGGCTGCAGAGAGTAGTAGGATGCGGATGCAGTAACCTATATACGTGAATGTTACATATTTGCAGTTTCATACTCCAAACACTCGTCATTTGGTGTTTAGAGGTTTGCATATGGTGTTTACTTGTATGATATGATATTCTCTTATATCCATTTGAGATACTGTATTTAGACAACTTCTGGATTGGGATGTGGATTTTTACAGCTACCTGTATGCATTTATATGATGCATCAGCTACCATTTCGTGTATATATAAACACTAGTGTACTTATGGCCTTCCTAGTGAGATGTATTTCTAGTTTTGTTAGTCAGTTGCTTTCATATTAAAGTTCTTAGGAGTTTTATCATATGAATTTTTATTTATATTTGTTTTAATGAAAATCGGATAATATGTTTAACATAATATATTATTAATTTCCTTTGTTCTTGTGGCCACACCAGGGCTTTTGAGTAAACTTCACCTTGGAGGAATGTGATTTGGGGGTTTGGCCCATAGTTGTTGATTTTCTTCGTGGTTATGCCATTGACCTTTTGAGTTATTTGATATGGACCAGGCCAATTTAAATAATAATAATTATGACTTATTATATGGATTTTAGGGTTGTAACACCACCACGGAACAACCCCATCCCTCTATCTCTGCCAAAACGCACCAATTATGGTCCATTGCCTTCTTATACCCTCCGGCCATGTTGTTTGGGCGGGCTAGATTAGCATTCCCATGACTAATAGTCCTAGGACTACGAATCCGTTGGATTATGTATCCTATCTTAACTAATAGTCAAGTTTAAAATAATTAGTCCGTACTTCAATTGTTTAATCAAACATCGGATTAATAATTTTATTGGACTATTAGTCTAATCCTAAGCTCATGTTCACCCAAACAAACATGGCTTTCATTCTATGCGTTTTCAACCTCTCACTTTGTTCTCTCGTACTTGTATATATTTGCATTGATTCACGTCTCTTGAACTCTTTCTGAATTACCATATATAATCTCTTAATTCTGTGGGTCTCTCTATCTCACTAATGTCCGTGTGTGTGTGTTGGAACATTGGGTTGCACTGGTCTATGGGATGGTAATCCAGAATCTGTCTGATGTCTTTGCCTTCAGAATCCTACCTTGGTTCATTCAACTAATGTTTCTTTCTTCACAATTGGGAGAGTTTAGAAAAAGAGAGAACTGAATCAAGAGAGAGAGAATTTTAGGCCATGTTTGGTTCATGGATTTAGATAGGAATTTAGAAAGAGAGAGAAAATGTGTGGGAAAGAAAATGTGAATGCAATCTATATAAAATAAAGTAGAAGTGTTTTTGAATCTTCAACATATTTTGCCCTACTAAAACATTTGGACGGTTCAAATCTGTTCAAACTATAAAACAAAGGTTGAAATGCATTTTTCAAAAAATGTCTTACGTGTATATTTTCTACTTTCTCGCTTCTCTCTCTTATTTTTTCTGTTTTTCACCAATCCTCTCATGATCTTACCTTCCTCCCTCTTTTCTTTTTATATTTTATTTTCCACCCTTTTTTTATTTTTCTCCTTATTTGTTTATTTTTTCTTTTTTGTTCACTTATTTTTACTTACACCTTGCCTTCAAGCACATGCATACACTAGTATAATTACGTTTTACACACTTTTTTCTTTTCTATTTTCAAATTTCTATCCAAATTTATGAACTAAACACAACTTTATAGACAAGTAGGGTTTTTTTAGTGAGTATTTGTTACGAAGAAGAGTGGGAAAATTGATGCAGATTGAATTTCAGAAAATAAGTATTTTTATTTTATTATTTGAAAATTAATATTATTATGGAATTATTTAGTTATTTAGTTTCTTATTTTCGTATTGCATTATAGTAGTTGCCAATTCTGGTTGTTTTCTAATTAAGTTAGGTCTATATTTTGGTACAATTCTGGTTGTTTTCTAATTAAGTTTATAAATAATGAATGTAAGCCTTAGGGCAAGGGGAGATAGTTTTTTTGAGAATTAATATATTTTGAGTTTTATACTCTTTTGTCCCAACTTCGGGTATTCTTTTTGAATTAACTATGGTTGAGCCGTTATTCTAGGTATTCTTTGTAAATCAACGAGTCTAAAGAGGAATCTTACTTCCAGTATTCTTGTTTGAATCAATGGATTTTAAGATTATTCTTATTACGCGCCTCACGCTGCATAAGTTGGTATCAGAGCTTGCTACGTTCTTGCTTCATGCCTAAGAATCGTAGTGATGCTCAAGAGGTTCCTGTGGAAGAGGAAGAGGTAATAGATGATGATTCTAGTGAAATACGTGAACCAAATCACTAAACAGGACGATCTGATTAAATGACATTTCACGTCAAAATTTATTCCAGATCCAATTGTGGATTGGAGTAAATCACCGATTTTTTATGACGAACCATTCATTGATGGATCTAATAATATGTTTAATCATAATTTGTCCGTTGGAAGAATAAATCAAAGTTATGGAAGGGTTGGTGTTAATTTTATTTTTATGAAAGATCATATACTTGGCTTACATAAGTTTAATGAGCATTCAAAATTGATTTACAATATGGAGAATATTTTCTATGATCTGTCTGTAGAGAAATTTCATGAAGAGTTTACAAATTTGAGTTTGAACCGTTCAAATTTGGGCTTTGATGAAGATGTGTTAAATTTGTTAAAGAAAGTTGTTCATTTAATTTTAGGAAACTCTTCTTTGAAGTTTAGATTTACAAAAATTAATCTCAAATACAAGGTTGATGCAGATAAGTGCAGACGTGCCAAGTTATTTCAAGCAATAGAAACTCGGGGGCGAGTTTTCTCAAGCGGGAAAGAATGATGCAAATTGAATTTTAGAAAATAAGTATTTTTATTTTATTATTTTAAAATTAATATTATTATGGAAATAATTGTTTAGTTTCCTTATTGCATTATGGTAGTTGCCAATTCTAATTGTTTCCTAATTATGTTAGGTCTATATTTTGTTTACAAATAATAAATGTAAGCCTTAGGGCAAGGGGAGATAGTTTTTTTGAGAATTAATATATTTTGAGTTTTATACTCTTTTGTTCTAACTTTGGGTATTCTTTTTTAATTAACTATTGTTGAGCCTTTATTCTTGATATTCTTTATGAATCAACGTTTTTAAAGAGAAATCTTACTTCCAATATTCTTGTTTGAATCAACGGATTTTAAAATTATTCTTATTACGCGTCTCGCGCTGCATCAAAAATTCATAACACGGAGAGGGTACTCAAGGGTATTGTGGTCTTTTTATACATTTATGATACTTCAATTCTAAGCTTATGATTTCAAATTGCAAGGGAAATTTCATCACTTACCAAATTGCAAGGGCAATTTCATCATTTAATCACCCACAACAATACAATTAGGCCAGCAACTCTAATGGGGGACGCACTACAATCTCAAAATCATAAGGAATGTTTCTATAATTGTCAAAACCTTAATGTCACGTCTAATTCACCAAACTAGTAGTGAGATATTAATAATCCTATCAAATTAATATAATATTCATTATCCAATTAGATTAATATGATAAATTATCAATTGAATTAATAATCTCATCCCTACTCCATTCCTAATAATCCTATAAATTTGTTAGATTAATTATCCATTGAATTAATAATCCTAAACCAAAATGTTATAACAAACATAAAATAATTAGATCCACAGATTAATAATTCTAATCCCACGTTTTAATACATCCAATCAAACATACCCCAAATGTATAACTACTCTAAACTGCATCTTAGGCATCTTGCAAGCACCAAATGTAACTTTGGCACAAAAAGACTCTCACATGTTTGGACTCCCTATGATAGAAACCACAATGGCATTTGCTGCGTAGCCTTGAATTCAGAGAAAATTGCCAAAGATTGATCACAGAAGTACACGACTAAGACTCCATTTGGCAAATGGCATTTTGCATTGGGCTACCATCACCCCATCTGCCCAAGGCATTCGCATTGGCAAATCAGTTTCAAAATGCTTCTGCAAAAGCTCTTCTTGGAAAACACTCCACAAAAAGCTACTGTGCCAAACAGGCACTAAGAACTCTGCAGTAGTTCTTTCAAATCCTGCTGGTTCGCATTCACATCAACAATCCTAACGGCGTTTAGTTGTCCAGCCAAGTGTCAACATAATAAAACGTATTTTCATATGATACAATTTCACTTAACACATGGTTTCACATTTTTGACAACCACCAATCATAGCATTCTAAGTAGTAAATAAGTCTTCTTGTATGCATACAACACACCCATATTTAATAATGAGTCCAACACAATTCCAGAAGAGGGAATCACAATAAAAGCTTAATACACTCTAGAGTAAAGATGATAGCCCAAACTCCACAAGATTCTTCTCCCCTAATTCCATTCACTTCTTAAGATGAGGGAAACAAGTATAGAAATCGGATTTTGGATGCTTGGCTTCTGCATGCTCCCTGCATTTCACCTCCGATGTAGTGCAAATGAATGTCTGCATACACACCTTGCACTGCATCCATCAAAACATCAATGAATTAAGCAACACAACGCACTTCAAGCAATAGACTTGGCTATGAAAACTGAAATACCCATCATTCATTATCTAGATGACGACTCTCAAAACCTAAATAAGTTTCCAATAATGCATCGTCTGAAGATTAGCAAAGCCACACACCACACGAGCATCATTAGTTGTAATAAAGTATTGAAGATACTAGAAACAACTAGTTTGCAAAAACCATCACTTTTTACTAGACTGAAACGGATGGGCATTCTATGAGCACGAGCATTGACAAAAGAATATTTCTACTGACTTGTGCACCAGAGACCAAACATTAGAGTGGATTACTAAAATAGTCATGTGAATTGTTGTCGATTGAAAAAAGAAGGGCGTCACAATAATTTCAAATAATTCAAATCCTACAAATTAACAACACTCATAACAGAATAACCTCCACTGTCGCATAATTTTCTTAAGTGAGGAGTTGACTGCATGTGGGAGATGCAGGATAATGCATTAAAATACAAGACATCTAACAAAAGAAAGGGAATTTCTATTACTTAGCAAATTACCAATTCTGGCATGAATTTAGACCAAGTCTAGCAGGGACATCATTATCATTTATCATTCATTACAAGAACTGAGGATGTGCAATGGAAATCATGGACATCATTACCATTTATCAGGCATTACAATAACTGACGGTGTGAAATGGAAAATAATATTTCATGTAGCGAGCTTACAATAGCTCAGATAAGACTTCATTAAGTTGATATCTGCAGACTACAGCAACAGTTTCCTACAGCCAAGATAACAGTCTCTCACATCATTTATTTGGTGGAATAGCCACTCTCTAGAGACAAGTCTTATAATTGAAACCTGAATCTCCTAACAAATGTATTATATATGATAGCAAGTATTTTCAATGGACAAAAATCACCAGTGTGACGATTGAAAGATCCATTGCTCTTCACATTTTTTGTCCGCATTAATCAATTTGACGATGAAGACCTGCATATTTCTTTCCATGTATGTTGTTGCATAGCTACCTCAATACCTAATTTCAAAGTACTAGCAACAAGCACCAGCGATTAAAAAGTCATAAGAGAATTAGATTCATAAATGGCGTGTATGAAGGGCATCAAAAACTTCCGTCAATCTCTCAACTTGGAATAAAGCAAAGTGTAGAGTTTCACCATGCAGATTGTGAATACATAATTCCTAAATTTGGTAAGTTCAGAAAAAATGGTGTGCTACTGTCCAACAAATATCTTGATATGACAAAGAATATGCTAAATGTCACTGTAACTCCTATAAATTTTAAGTCAGATAATTTCTGACTGACGTAGCTCATATAAGGGTCAAACTAGACAAAATAGAAAAAGGTAACACGGCACATGCTTTTTCTCTATCAGTAAAGGTTATTTTAAAAATAAAAAGTTTTTCACCTCAAATAATAATAGCGATAAGAGCGGAGTAGCAGTCGGGACAATCTGATGAGGGGAGACATTGACAGGTTAAATATTAGCAACCAACAGATCCAAAGTGGAAGGACTTAAGGTTCAATACAAAATAGAAAACTTCCCTGATAGGGAGACATTCAAGAAGTAGCACAGGCACGCGACACATCATGGGCAAGCCAACATGGCGATTTTCAAAAAATACAATACACCATCTGCGCAGGTCACATTAAAATTTTATATTTTTATAAATTTATTATGGGTAAAATATTTGAATAGTTTATTCAAAGTAATTAAAAAGAATAGTACTAATTAAAATTAAAAGTCATATCTATTCCATAACTTAAACACCAAGATATTATTTATGTAACATTTGTATTGTAAAGAATACAAAACAAGTGTAGAACTTCATAAATATTTCAAAAATTATTTAGAGTACACAGATTACATTCTAAAGAATGCATAACATTGTTACTATGAAGAGATTCGTCACAAAAATTGTGTTCAGACTCAGAGGGTTCAAAAAATGTTGTTGAAGCGACAGTAAAGTGTTTGATATTATGAGTGTAAGCTTTTAACTAAGACACGGTAAAGAAGTGTCATACATGCTTCAGAAGTATCCGCATTGGAGTATCATTAAATGTAAGTTTATGTGTTAATCTCATGCCACTGGCTTCAATATAGAGAGCGTTTGACCCCAAACCAACAGAACGGCAATAATCATACAATTCCTTGAACATTTAAACCAAAATGCAGAAGCAGGACAACAAAGCACAAAGCTCATGACCAATCCAAGTTCAAGTTCAAGCCACAAACGCCAATGCAGTTGTGAATACCATAAGCAAGCAGCCAGCACGGCTCAGTCTCTTGCATCTTTTTTTCTCCTCCTTCTTCATTGAAAATTTCAATTAGGTTTATTCTTTCCTCAATTTTGACCAATTACTAGCTAAAAAAAATCACATATCATATTCATTTTATTTTTTATCTTTTATTTTTTTTGTATGGAGATAATCTATCTAAAAATACTCAAAATTACTACAATTCAAGGTCGGGTATTTTCAAACGAAACAAGGGATTAACCATATAAAAACCCCGGAATCAGCTAAGTATCGTATCAGAATTGAAGCATAAATAATCTGATTAAACAGACATGTAGGAATACCTGGATAGTCATGGCCTTCTTATTCGAATCCAGCTGACTTCCTGTGTAGATCGGACAATTTATCATGTTATTTTTGAAGAAAAACACATAGATTCATGCGAATTCAAAGCTCAATTCCAAGAAATACCAACAAAATTAGGAGTCCACTGATAGAATACACACACACACATATATACCTTTACCAGCAGCTTTCATTTTCTCCATGTTCTTCTCGCGAGCCATCTTCGCTTTCTGACCATTGCCGCCTCCCATGTTAATCGAACGATCTCAATCCTAACACACACTATATCTCTCTCTCTCTCTCTCTCAGAAAACCCTAAATCGCAAGGGCGGCGAAGGACGAGAGCGCGACGACGGCCAAGCACGCTTTATACGGGCGAGCTCGTGTCTACGCTGCCCTTAAACGACCCCGTTTTACAATTTAAACTTTATATATGCTTTTTTTATTTCATTTGGTCACGCAATAATGCTTATAGGCCAACTTTGATGACCACGGCTAACTTGGTGTGGGATAAGATTATTCATTGATTTATGGTTCTGTTTGAGAAGAAAAAAGTCAAGTTTTTTTTTGTTAAAATAGTCATAAAAAATAAAATAAGTTATTTTAGTCACAAAAAATAAAATATCAAATCCAATCCATAATCATTATAATCCTCTCTCACAAAAAAAATCAAAAAAGTCAAAAAGTTCTTCTTAAACCAGGCTAAAATAACCCAAATTAAAATAGTTAAAAAGTCAACAAGCCATCATGTTATTTTTGAAGAAAAACACATAGATTCATGCGAATTCAAAGCTCAATTCCAAGAAATACCAACAAAATTAGGAGTCCACTAATAGAAGACACACACACACACATATATACCTTTACCAGCAGCTTTCATTTTCTCCATGTTCTTCTCGCGAGCCATCTTCGCTTTCTGACCATTGCCGCCTCCCATGTTAATCGAACGATCTCAATCCTAACACACACTATATCTCTCTCTCTCTCTCTCTCAGAAAACCCTAAATCGCAAGGGCGGCGAAGGACGAGAGCGCGACGACGGCCAAGCACGCTTTATACGGGCGAGCTCGTGTCTACGCTGCCCTCAAACGACCCCGTTTTACAATTTAAACTTTATATATGCTTTTTTTATTTCATTTGGTCACGCAATAATGCTTATAGGCCACCTTTGATGACCACACGCTAACTTGGTGTGGGATAAGATTATTCATTGATTCATGTCTCCCTTTCGGAAGAAAAAAGTCAGGTTTTTTTTAGTTAAAATAGTCACAAAAAATAAAATATTATTTTACTCACAAAAAATAAAATATTAAATCCAACCCATAATCATTACAATCCTCTCTCACAAAAAAAAGTCAAAAAATCAAAAAAATCTTTCCAAATCAGGCTAAAATAGTCAAAAAATTAAAAAACCAACACACTTTCCAAACGGAGGCTATATGGGATTGGATTTGTTATGGGAAAATGTTTGAAGGCCACAATTTTTGTGGCCACAATAGCTCAAAACTGCTAAAACGACGTCGTTTTGTGTGCAAAATATGCCAAAATGACGTCGTTTTGACAGTTTTAAGCCATTGTGACCACAAAAATTGTGGCCCTCTAGCATTGTTGTGTGTTATGTAATGTTGTCCAATTCAATCCACTTGGATGGCTCCATGGATAAGTTGGAACTTTGGTGTTTGGAAAAATTTAGACAAGCCTTTGCTTTCCTTTTTTTACTCCTTTTTTTTTCTTTTTGTATTTTATTGATTTTTAAAAAAAAAATTATGTTAAATTTTTTTATCTTTTGAAGTCAGTCTTGTAGTTGAATTACTATTTTTGACAATTTTTTTTGTCTTCTCTAAATTTTTTTTTAATTACTTTTTATGTCTGTTTAATTGAGTAAACCAATTGTTTTTAAAATTTTTTAACTTTTTTAATAAAAATTTACTAAAAATAAAAAATAAAAAATCCCAATCACCTACATTGGATAAGTCCAATCTAATGTTGTTTAATTTTATTTTTATTTTTTAAAAAAAAAAAAACAAAAAAACAAACAAACAAATCCCAATCACGTAGATTGGGTAAGTCCAATCTAATGGTATTCTACCCACTCATTCATATTCTTTTATCCCATGGTTAGCTATTTGGGTTGGAATAAAAGTTGACCCTCCAAATTACATCAAATAATGGACTAGTTGGGACTAATTTGAAATAGTCCAATTCAAAGTTGCACAATACTACAAGTTTGGACTATTTTCCATCTTTTAATTTTAGGTAAATTACAGTTACTTTTTTTGAGTTTTAATGAAATTACATAAACCTCCATTGAGGTTTCTGAATTAACTGTCTTCATTTGGCATATCAAACTTTTTAATTTTTTTGATATTTTAGTCATAAAAAGATAAAATAGATTTTTTAATTCAATAAGATAAAACATCACATCTCTTCATAATCATTTTATTTTTTCTTTTATAAAAGTAAAAAAAAAATCAAAAAGTCTATCCCAAACGAAACTTTTTAGCCCCAAGCTAATATAGTCAAATAGTCAAAAAACTAACTCACATCCCAAACAAACCATTAAACTTTTTTTGAAGTTTAGTTTTCCATTATATTGACATCCCTTGAGATTTAATAAAATTACAGATTATGAATATGAAAATTGAGCTCGAAGATGATATGGGATTTGTTGAGTTTAAACTGGACAAGTAATTTTCAATTTCAAACTTCCATGCAAGTTTAGTTTTATGAATTTGGAAGGATACTTCAGTTGGTTGAGGGAGAAAAACTCTGCGATAAGCCGTAAACTTCGGATGTCTTGAGATCAATTTCTACTCCCAGCTAGTTTACTCACGGGTCATTGCATTTTTACCTGATCGATCGGCTCAGGACCTTAAGATTAGTCGAGTTGCACATCCTAAAAACATGCTGGCCCGGATATTCAGTTATCAAAAAAAAAACAAAATTTATTTTATGAGTTTTTAATCCATAATTTGTTATTAGTAAATTTTTTAATATTTTAGCCTTTTTTTATTATTATTTTTAGATTAACTCAATCTATATGTACTTAAAAAGCATGAAATTTGTTCAAAAGTCTTTTAAAAATTAACTAAATATAAAAAATTTATAAAAATTCAGTACATTTTATATTTTATTGTATTCAAAAAAAATTTTGTGCAAATATATTTTTTAAGTGTATCTAGACCAAGTAAATCTAAAAATTTTATTAAAAAAAAAAGAATTATTACAATGTTAAAAAAATTCACTAAAAACAAAATCAAAAATATATAAATTTAAAATTCAAAAAACTATTTTTAAAAACTCCAAATTAGACTTTGCTGTTTTCCTCTTACGGTCCAACATCATTCTGTCTCGTGGTACATATTGGGGTGTTTGGGAAGAAAAAAAATAGCCTAGTTTAGGTTAAAAATCACAAAAAGATAAAATAGGCTAAAATAGTTAATAAGACAAAATATCACATCAAACTCATAATTATTTCACTTTTTCTCTCACAAACATCACATCCAACCACAAAAAAATCCAATCATCTTTTCAAACACAAAAATTTTAGCCTACTAAAATAGCCAAAAACTAAAATAGGCTACTAAAATAACCACTTCCCAAACGAGGCCAGTGTAGTAGTTGTTTTAACAAAAATGTTTAAGGGTTTTAAAAGTAAAGCTCTATAAAGAGAGCTTTATTTACGTCACAGTGGGTCTTATTTATAAATGATTTGATGTATATGTATTGTATTTTATTTTATTTTTTTTTATTTTTTTATTTCATATTATATCATTAATATTATTATTAAAATTTAAAATTTAAAATTATGAATCATTGCTATTATTTTAATTGTTTGATCCATTGTCTAGAGACCAAGCTAAAGATAATCTCATATTCAAACAAACGACTTGGATTTGACAATTTTGTTTTTGTTTTTCATAATAATAATAATAATAAAGGTACTGCTACGTCATGAGAAATTTATATGTATATTTTAAAATATTTTTATATAAAGAATTGATATTTTTTTTTAGGAGTTTTCTTAAGTGTGCAAGTGCACACCATGTGCCACTTACACAAAAAGTGTAAGTGTAAGGTGTAAGTATAAGTATAAGGTGTAAGTGTAAGGTGTAAGTGTAAGGTGTAAGGTGTAAGTGGGTTGCACATGGTGTGCAACCTCAAAAAAGGTGTAAGTGTAAGGTTTAATTTTTTACAAAAGGTGTAAGTGTAAGGTGTAAGTGTAAGGTATAAGGTGTAAGGTGTAAGTTGCACACCATAACCAAACCCTTTTTTTTATCATTCTATATCACCATTTATAGTTTAAATAATAGTAAATTACACTTATACCCCATGAGATTTGAATTTAATACATTACTCCTTTATGTTTGAAAAATTATACTTTTCTTATCATTGCAATTACTTAGACAGAATGAAAACATTAAACTCATGCACTCTTTTTTTTTTTACTTTGTTTTACTTTCTCTGTTTTTTTTTACTTTCTCTGTTTTCTTTTTCTTTTTCCTTTTCTTTACTTTACTTTTGTTTTCAATGTAATTCATCTATTTTTTTATTAGGAGTTATTGTTTTTATGTATAAGCGGGGACTTGTGATATGAGATTATAAACTACAAGAATATAAATATAATTTTAAAAACGTCAGGAGATGAAATGTAATTAGACCAAATCTCAGGCGATGTCAGTATAATTTAGAATAATGGTAGAAATCTCAAAAGTTCTATCAAAATCTTTACCAAATGTCTTACATGGGTGTGAGTCTCATGGCTATGAGACTCACACCATGTTGATCTTATGTGGGTGTGACACCCATATGAGAAATTTAGTAAAAATTTTAATAAAACTTTTAAGATCTCTAATATATATTGTGGGAGCCAAAAAAAAATATATATCAACTTATTGGAGTTAACCCAAACAAGGCCTGTAAATGAGCCCAGTCCAAACAAATATTGCACCCCCCATCTATATAAATGGGGGCATCCCAGAAGAAAAGGGAAGTGATCTCTCTATACACTATACACCAAGCACTCTACATTTTCTAGACCTTCATTCTGTTTATCAAGTGACTGACTTCACCAACGAAGTGTCTCCGGCCGGCAACCCCGGTTGGGTGGCGTCGATCATACTCATCTTTGCAGGTCTACCAGGACAAAGTTCATCTCTTCGTTGGATCTCTACAATCCATGTGAGAGGATATTTCTTAGTCTCACAATTGGCGCCGTCTGTGGGAATCGTCTAAGAATTCAATGAAGAGCAGAGCAAACACCACCCTTAAAGAGCTCGAACCAGTGTACTATCTACAGCTGGGTCTTTCTCTTCTTCCTTTTTTATTATGTTTCTGAAATATCAGTATATATGTATATATGTATGTATGTATGTATGTATATGTCTATATATTTATGCTCACAGCTTCTGTCAAATAAATTTTAATTTTGTTTAGAAAAGTTGAAAGAACAATACGAAGGTAGTGGATCTATAATTAAGTATAGATTTTCTCTCTCTAAAAATGGGTTTCACACTTTTCTTTGTGAGAACATCTTTCCGGCCTTACAAAAAGGTTACCCGGCTACACTCACCCTGGACTTTATTTATTAAATTATTGCCTCACAAAGGTTGATTCTTGGAATATACATACATGTGCATGTGTTGTACTAATGATTAGCAGGAATTAAAGAATTGTGTTATGGTTCAAGCAAGCCGAATGGCCAACTCGCCATAACTTCAGTTCGGCAATGCTATAGTTATCCTTATGGTCGACTCACTTAGTTCCAATCCGATCAACAATAATTCAACAACTCCGACCCTAACCCATCATTCCTCGGTTTGTTACCCAATCACACAACATGACGTATGAGCACTATCCCAGGGAAACCCACTTCTAAAATGGAACCTCTATTCTTTTCTTTTTGAATAACCATTGTCTTTAGTATGATTTCTATATACATATATGCATATAACCTTCAATTTAATTACAAATATTATGCCTTGCCAGAAGATGTTTCCAACTAGAGTTCAATGCACCATCTTTAGTGACAGATGCCGACC